ACTCGAGTAGAAACTGTATGGGTCTGACATTATCATGCCTGATATATGGTCTCTAGGATATTAGATGGATGAGGGACTATATGTACACTGTAACTAAGGACAGATAGGTCCAATGGATTAGATTACCCTGTATCATCTAGGGACTACAATGTAGTAACCTAGTATGTCCATAGTTGATGAGTCAAGTGAATTATTATACCCACAATTGGTCATTGGGATGATAAAAATAATACACACAAGTTCCCTTGGGGTATCCCACGAACTTGCACCACCCATCCTTGATTCCAACTTATCAGGGTTGTATCTTTTAACGTTGCCGGGGCAACCTAAATCTTAACAACCTTAAGATAGGGTTCTTCCCTTTCCATATCTCATATGGTGTAGACACTACCGATTTAGTTGGAACTCTATTCAGAAGGTAAGTTACGGTCTCTATGGCGTATCCCTAAAATGAGATGGGTAGGTTAGTGAGGCTCATCATAGACCGCACCATATCTAATAGTATACGATTCCTCCTTTCAGATACATCATTAAGCTGAGGTATATAAAGAGGTGTCTATTGGGATAGAATCTCTTGGTCCTCGAGGAACTTGGTGAACTCTATACTTAAGTACTCGCCTCCTCGATCTGATCGAAGAGTCTGAATATTTTTTCCAGTCTAGTTCTCCATTTCATTTTTATACTCTTTGAATTTCTCAAAGGCCTTAGACTTATACTTGTTAAGACTGAAATTGGCACTAGGGGGAATTAATGCTTATGTAAAAATGTCAATTTAAAAAACTTATTAAATGAAAACATATCGGAAAGTGTTTAAACTTAGAGAGCACTTTTGTAAGCATAGTGAGAGTAGTAAGAAAGTAAATCAGTTAGCAATATAAATGAAAAGCTTGAAGGAAATTGCAAACCAATTTATAATGGTTCGATCGTCGTGACCTACATCCACTCCTGATTCCTCTTCACTCGAGGCCACCGACTTCCACTACTGATCTTCTTTCAATGGGTGAAGATCAACTACCCTTACAACTCTTTCTCCCTTTCATAGGCTCAGGAAAGAATCTTTACACCTCTCTTTTAGACCTCACTCCTCCCTTAGAAAAATTTTAACTCTATGAGGAAGAGATTCTAAATCCTAAGAGAGTTTCTAATTTTTTTCTCAAGTATTTTTCCCCCTTTTTTTTGCTCAAATTCATACTTTGCCAAGTAGAAATAGTTGGGGTATTTATAGACCACAAATAGGTGGTGCCACCTTAAAAAATGAAGCTAAAAAAGGTCTCATCCCGGATCCTAGTGGTATCACCGTCATTACTAGGCAGTACCACCTCTTGATAGATTGATAATTGGTGGTACCATCGCTTGTCAGTCTGATACTATGCGGTACCACCACTCAATTTGACATTGACACTGGACCGTACCATCACCCAATCTGGCAATACCATTGCCTGACACAATCTTGAAGACTATGTCTGGGTGGTACCATCGTCGGTCTGGATGGCACCACCGCTTGACACGGTTTGGGAGACTGTGTTTGGACGGTACCATCGTCAGACCATGCTACAGGTCACTGAATGGGCCAAACAATAGGTCCAATTCGACCTTGATTCAGGCTCAATTCAGCCCTGATTCAGGCTTAATTCAGCCCTTAATTGAGTTAGCATTGTTTTATCCTAAAACTAACTTAATTAGTCCTAAACTAACTCGATCTAGATACATGATTACAAGCATGAATCCTATGGTGTCGGGCATGTCATTGGCTCATTTGGCACTTTGTCCGATTCTCCGACCCCATATCCAATCTCCTGACATGTTCTACTCCGGCCCAACGTTTGATTCCTCTTGCTTTAATCGATTTGCCTTTTCTGATCAAATTTAGTCCTATATCACTCAAAACGTAGATTAGATCGTAAACTCATTAATGGATTTCATCATCAAAATTCGAGATTCAATAGTACTTCATCAAGTACATATATCCATACCTTGAGAGATCATTAGTAAATATAATGAAGTAGGAGTGACCACCTATAACATGAGTTGATATGAGAGTACATACATCACTATGTATGAGTTCCAACAACTCAGTGACTCTCTCTCCAGTTCCAGTTGGTCAGTTTTTCACAAAGACAAGGCTCAGAAGTTGTATATGACTCATAGTTGAATGAATCTAGATATTGATCCTTTAGTAACTTTTGAATCCTTCCCTCATGGATGTGACCTAGACTACAATCTCATAAGTATGCATTATTCATCTCATCTCGGTTTCTCTAGGACACACTTATATTCATGATACGTGGAGTAGTGTTTAGCATAAACAAACCACTATGCAATGTTCTTCTCGTGATGATCTTATCATCTAATAATATTGAATAATCATTATTATCAAAAACTAATTTATATTAATTAATTATCAAACATAAAATAAAAATAATATTTTTGATAATAGAAGGAACAAAATAACATTGCTATAACTACTTCTCCTTATATATTAGCATTGTTATGACTTTTGGAGTCGATGAGCAATGTACGCCTACATATCATATAAAGGCTTTATGAATAATATTGAAAGATAATCATCGTAAATTTAATCTATCATTATTTGATTTTAAATTTTTAATATTAAATTTTTTTATATAATAATACCATAATCACGGTTGTTTTTATAATTACACATGCACTTGGTCCTCGACGTTCATGACCTTCGCCTCAGTAGTTACTATCTTCTTTCTTTGCTTGCAAGGTGGCAAAAGAGGGCCATCACGAGGAGGAGACCACCGAAGGAGAAAAACATGATGATGATGATGGGGAGGTGCAGGCTGGGCCGTGGGAGAGGTAGGGTGACGTGGGGTGGCTCCGCGTCAACAATGCAACTAGAGATGGTGGTGATAGCTTTGGTAGAGGTGAGGCCATCCTTCTTGGTGGGGGCAATGGTGATTGTTTGGCAGGTGAGGGTGGTGGAGGGCTCCGGTCAGGTGGTGGGAATGGGGATACCTTTAGAGGTGGTGGTGCAAAAGGAGACAACTTGGGAGGAGGTGGAGATAAGAGGGGGGAGGAAGGCCATCATGTTGAGAGTGGTATGGCTCGAGGACAACAGTGGGAGAGATGTGGAGAGAGTGAGAGAGAGAGTGAGAGAGAGAAAAAAAGGATATGTGGGTATTATAGTAGAGATTAGGGAGGAGGAGGAGCTCATGCTAAGGCTTTGTAAGGGTTGGCTTCCAAACAATTTGTCGGCTTAGGTTGAGGACTAATTCTTGGCTTTGGAATACTTGGGAAATGAAATGGGTTGAAGCTCGAGTGAAAAGGGCATGAAGAACAGTGAGGACTGCACAAAGGACAAGACACTGTTGTTATTCGTGCCATGCTTAGATTTGATCTCCAATTTTGATATATAAGCTTATATTTCTAAAACCATAAGCAATCTGATAATTTATATATATATTTAATTTCATATCGATTGAAAAAGAGAAAATTTAAAGCTTTATAATAGTCAAAACACCTCTACTCTTAGGTTGATAATGATTCAAAATTCAATTTAAAAAGTAAGTTAACCATTAGCTAAGAATATATCTATATATACACTAATGAACAGATACTTATTCTGAATTATTATTCCTAATGAGAATTATAAGCTTATACTATTACAATAAAATTCTGAATTTTTTTAACTATAGATTGAGCATACCACTCATTTATTGTGTTTTACTTATTGTGCAAGAATACAGTAAAAATAAAATATCTTATGGTATTCCTTGGTTTGAGGATTTATGTAACTTGATAATAATAATATTATTATTATTATCGTCATCACAGAAGACAGGAAACTCATCACCATATTGTGCTGGTGATCAGATCTAAAGGCGAAGCTCCCGTTCTCGCATCTCAAAGCGTTATATTAGTGCCCTCATCTCGCATCAGGACGATCCATCAATAACTAAACACTAATTTAAATATTGTGCTGATGATTCTCGCATCTCAAAGCATTACATTAGTGTCCGAATCTCGCATCAGGACCATCCATCAATGTTTCCACAATTAATAAAGGGGATTAAAAAAATAATACACTGCTTTAAATTTTGTGCTGATGATTCTCGCATCTAAAAGCGTTACTTTAGTCCTCATCTCGGATCACGATCATCCAGATGTTTGGACGTTAGTTAAGAGAATAAAAAACGACCTTTCGACCACAGTGGGAGTCGAACCCACGACCTTCTGATCCGAAGTCAGACGCGCTAATCCACTGCGCTATGCGGTCGGTGATGATGTGGGGATAAAGCAAAAATATTAGTACTTTCTTTTGTTCTCGTTTCACAGCAACACATTGACAGTTAAATTTAACTCTGCATGCAAGAAAAGAAAAGAAAGCTAAGACAGAATGATCACTTCATAGCCCTGTGTTGGAGGTGCAATGCAGGAAAACAGTAAAATGAAATGACACAGAAGAGCTACACAAAATCAAAATTCTCTTTCGACAGCTTGTGTCATTTTGGAGACCACCTGTTAGCAGTTGCACTCATTTCTTCTGCACTACTATTGCTTCTGTCCTCTACATCACATGTTAGCAGCTTGCTTGGATTAGTTCTTGGATTGCTCTTCAGCAATTGAAGATAGTTTCTTGTCGATTTCAGAGAATACATCTTCCTTGGGGGCATCTCCATTGACCTGAAGTGAGTGATAAAAGAGACAGAAGGATTAATGTTACAGGATGACATACTCGTGAAGATCCCTTTGATCTGAAGTGAGCTAATACAGAAGTCAATTTTATCGGTAGGTCTCAACACTGATTTCTGATATTTGAGTAGTGTGTACACGTGCATGAGATAACAAGATAACATACCTTAAATATGATGTCCTTATATACTGAAAGTACATCGTCAACATTCTGATGATAATTCTGCAACCTTAGTTTTACCTAGAAAAAAGAAAACAGTTACCATGTAATTGGGTTAGAAATCTTCCTCAAAAATGAATCAAACATATGTTGACAAGCAAACATAGTCGAGGAATCAGGATCACCAGTGAGGTAGGTGATGTACCTTTTCTTCTGTATCATCAAAATGCCGTGCAAGTCTAGAAGAAATTTCTTTGTTTTCAGGTGGTGAGTACTTCAAATGATACATTTTTCCAGTAACAGGATCAAGTCTTCTCCCAACCACTCTCTCAATAAGGCTTTCTTCAGATACCTCTTAAAATGTAGCAGGCAAAAGTAGACATATCTTTTATCTTGTGTACCATGAGATATCACATGAAAAATTATGAAACTTCCAAAAGCTGATACTGCAACAACAGTATGGAAGATGAGCATCTTGACGAAGGAAAACAATGATGAAGCAAATATTTCGTTGCTTTGAAATATCAAATATTCCCTAATCCTTGAATCATGGTACATGCTGCAGCCATTAATGTGACATTAAACAAGTGGCCCTTTCCTAAGGTCTTAAGCTTTTGGAAATTGTGGTTACCCAATCATCTCTTTGAGAACAAGGTTCACTATTGCCTGACTTGGTTCGGTAGAGTATGACAGATTACCACTGCACGGCCAAGGTAAATTGAGCTGTATTCCCATACCGAACCTCTATGGAATGGTACTGCTGTGATACAGGGTTGGTTACACCTAGTACAAGGTGATGCAGGCTATATATCAAAAGGTATTTACATTTTTTTCAGTCGTTCTTAAGTTTTTTTTTTTATAACTCAGTATGTACCAGTGCACCAAGAACCGGTATGGACTGATATGGTGCTGATCTGAGCTCTGGTCAGTACAGCACCATACAAAATTGAATATGTTGAGTAGGTAAAGATTTGAAATTTGGAAATTATTTAGTGAATTCAACAGAAACTACTGATAAAAATATTGCAATGTATAAGTTAGATCATAGAAGATTTTTACTTTCTTGCATTTGTAGTTATTGGCAGTTTCTCAAAATATCACCCAAATAGAAAAATAGTGTCACGCAATTCATTAGTAGTTGGATGCCTACCAATGAATTCTATACTAGTTTGGTAATTAGAGAATTATATACAAAAATTATCTATACAAGCAAACACATGAAAACTCGAGAACTTTCAGTATTTAAGAGAATATTGTCATTGTGATGTAGACTGCCATCATCAAAATATCTCCAAACTGTTGCCTCCTATAAAAGTAAACTTGGAAAATAGATGGACCTGCCAGAAATGATAAATCTGTTTCTTAGTTATCCTACGTCTTAGGATTATGAGCTTAGATCATAATATTAAGAAGCAAAACTCTAAATCCCCTTGAACTTCTGAAAGGCACAGATAAAAGTGGAATATGATAAAATGTTTACATAATTAGAAAGAAATTTGAGCTTAAGCTAGGACATTTCAGAATATAAACAGAACAAGGTTTTCATGCCTATGTATTAAGGATTATGCTAATTTCAGTACCAGAACGTTTTCCCCTAGTCTTTTTAAAACTAGTTAATCTTAAAGGATTGTTGGTTATCATGCCAAAAACTCACAATAGTCACATGAAAAGCCATTCCAAGGTTAATTTAATTGCGAACCATGACACAGTCAGTGACAGATAAAACAGCCACATACAATAACAGCAAATTTTTACTGGATCTTTCATGTAAAACTCTCTTTTTAGTAAAATAAGTTTTTATAAGTATTGATGGTTAGGAAGCAGGAAAGAAGTGCAGCAACCCTAGAAAAGAATAGTTAGACATGCATCAGAGATCAGTATGCAGTCTGAAGTGTAACATTCGCAAGGAGAAATGTATACCTCCAGGAGAATGAACATGTCAGGTCGGACACCAAGATCTTGTAAAGCATTCGCCTGGGATAAGCTTCTCAGATATCCATCTAAGACCCAGCCACTTTCTTCAGCATCTGGTTGGCTAAGACGTGCCTTCACTATCTACAATGCACAAGCTCACAGTTAGTTTACGATCGAAGTCAGTGTAACGATAATAGAACAACTAGTTCCAAACTGTGACAACAACTTCATCAGGCACCAACATCCCCTTCTCCCTATACTCTTTGGCCCGCTTTCCGTTCTCAGTCTCTGCTGCAACTTCTGCTCTGAGCAAATCACCTGCAGCCATGTGAACCAGACCATACTGCATTAAGAGTACTACTTCATTCAATCTATATCTCTTCAAAAACAATTCCAGATCTTTAAATTCAGGTCATCAAGTAAGTTTCAATACAAAGATGAAAATTAACCAGTTAGCAAAGAAACTTCCTTTGAGATTAAAGCTAGCAGAGCCACTTAAGTATGTGATTCCGATCGACAAGTAGATGAGCTTCCAAAAGCCTTGCAGCTCAATGTTGAATTACAGACTTTAAAGATGAGAGAAAATGATTGCTCACTGAATCATTAAAAAAAAAAAGAACTGCAATAGCTATTGAATGATCACATTCTAAATGACACATTATTCATAATTTAATAATTATTAGAATGATGATGATTCCAATATGAGAGAATGTTATAAATCTTTCTTCCTCATGTGTTATAATTATATATTTTGCTATAAATAAGTATATTCATGTAAGGTTCACCTTATTGGGCCAAATCGGTGTACCAGCCAACTACTCGACAGTACGGTGTGGTACCACTCCCTACCGACGTCCCATGTGTCGGTACAACGGGGCGTACCAATGGCATCGAAAAATGACCAAAAATAACTCCAAAAAAATCCTTTAAAATAGAAAAAAAGTTAGATTAAAATTTTTTTAAGTTGAAAAAAAATATAAATTTTGTATAAATTTAGTAAAAATAGTATAAATTAGGAAAGAATAGTGACATATATCTTTTTCGGGATTTAAGGAGTAGTTTTGTAATACGTTTCAGACCATCCTTTCATTAATATTGAATTATCTACCAAAATTTATTTTAATTATTAGATTATTTGTTAAACAATTTAAAACTTAAGATTCAAATAAATCAAGTAATTGATCGATGGATATACTTAGTTGCACCACCAAAAAGAATGACGGAACTCCACAGGCGGTGGAATGTGGTCCTCGATCCTTATATATCTGTATATCAATTTGATATGTTTGTCAGACCCAATCCTAAAATTAATCCCACGACATAATATATTGATAAACCATATGTCATTGGTATATCAATGTGGTGATAATTATACTTTCACCATCGTGAACTATATATGTCTGAGGTGGCTCCTAAGGCAAGTATGATTATGGCATATATTAGTGCAGAGCATAGAAAATGTCAGAACTTTTACTTTTGTCACTGATCTGCTGCTCCATATCATAAGATCAATTACTGTACTATTGCTCGGAGAAGACTAACCATCACCATATTGCTGCTCGAAGAAGAATGATCAACTATCATGTAGAGCTCCATGATCTGGGTGGTATGCATAAAATATTGCTCCTCAATCTATGCACTATTCTCAAATTGTGTAAACGAGATCATCAACTCCCCAACGTCGCCACTATCGTCGGTCGAGGCACTGCTATCCACATCATTGTCATGTCTCCGAACCGAGTAGGCTATTAAATGCGATTGAGAAATATCTACGTACCTTTGATTAAAGAGTTCTTCCTCTAAATTAGGTGTTAAGCCTTCTTAATTAACCTCCCAAGCTTATCCAATCCACAAATCATAGATTCATAAATTCATGAAGTTTTAAGAGAGTGCAAAGTGAGAATGAGAGAAAGAAGTGAGTTAAAAAGAGACTAAAAAAGCATAAGAGTTTAAGGGATCTGATCGTTGGAAAGGGTCAGATCTAAGCTGTCCATTCATAACAGTCAGATTCCGACCATTACTAATAGGTACAAGTCAATAACGATCAGGTTTCGATCATTATCGAGCGGTACAAGTTAATAATGATTAGATTTCGATCGTTATTGAGCGGTACAGGCCCATATCAAAGTGATACAAAACCTTTAGTATATATATCATCTGGTACAGGTGGGCTGCGTACCAATCCCCTGTTGGACTGTTGCGTACCGCCCGCGATATACCGGGACCATGCATTCATGCTCTTAACAAGTAAACATTGGTAGAGATAGAAATTGGACCTTCACCCAAATAAAAGTAATACAAAGATCGATCATATTACTGTAAACAAATAAAGATTTGTTACCTACATTTTTCTCAATTAGTTCACTCTGCGTTCCCTTGCCAGATACAGGAGCTCCCCATATAATAATCTTCACAGGCTGCTCCAGCTTCATAGCCGCTCCCAACCTTAAATTTATTACCTAATGGATAATAATTGGAGAAGGAAAAACGAAAGGGCTGTTGCTTTTCTTGAAAGCTACCACTAAAACCCTAAAAGCAAATCAAAGTTGCAAATTTTCCAATGACTAGTCTCGATTCGAGATAAAAAGAACAATTTTGGCAGGGGAACCAAACTAGTTGGAGAAAGAAAAGAAATCCAAATTTTACAACAGATGAAAGATCACAAACGTTACCCAAAGAAAAAAGACGCAGTAAGCGAGAGAGAGAGAGAGAGAGAGAGAGAGAGAGCACGTGATGACACCTGATACGAAGAGACTACTCGAGGTCTACAAAGAAGAAGGGCCACCGGATGACAGCGACGGGGTCGGGGTTGGCGGCAGTAAGAAAGGTCAAAGGCGTCGTATTTGTCACCGCCTTGGCAGATAAAGCAGAACGCACCAAAGCAGGAGTCTCTCTCTCCTCTTCAGCTGGATTGCAGTATAAGACACACTAGCGTGGAACCCGGTGCTCCGCTAAAGTCAGGATTCGAAGCACCTCTTCTACCTGAGATCAAGTTGTGATCTTAATGTGTTCCAGGAACATGTTATTTCCTGTTTCTTGGTTTCATGTTACAGACTATGCTTCTCATGAGCTGGATGTAACATCACCACATCGTAAGCACCTTCCCGTTCGTATCATCATCATCAGCTCCTCTTCCATTGCAGCAATGTGGCGCACACTGTGATTGTTACAATCATCTATCTTTGTGAGGGTGGAGTGTTGCTGGATGAACTAAAGCTATTTTAGCTTCATATTATTGTTTTCTAACAATTAACTCAAGCTTTCATAGCTCAGTTGGTTAGAGCACCCGTTTAGTAAGCGGGAGGTCTTGAGTTCAAATCTCAATGAAAGCATTTTTGAAGTGGAGTTCACTTTTTCTATGGTAGATAGTTCGAGCTGCAATTGTCAACGGCATTCTGAATCAATCTGTTCTTCCTGTCCTGAGGGAATCTGCAAGTCAAAACTCATGAAAGAAATCTGAGAAAGCCTATGTGAAGAAGCTTCAGCCGAAGCTGCCAATTGTTGTTTCTGTCATTCTACATCACTTGTTCTTGTCTCGAGGGTAACCTACAAGTCAGAACTCCATGAATGTTTCTATGGTTCTACATCAGTTGTTCATTGTTTTGAGGGAACTCTGCAAGTCAAACTCCATGAATGAACTTGTCACCTTGTTTCTACTGGGGTGGTCACTGCACCAGTTGAAGTTCCTCATCGGCCATGAATGCTACTGCATCTCCTTCTCACAGACAACTGCTGTGATGTCACTTGGTTTCCACTGTGATAGAGTTCTGCGGCAGGTGGAAGTCCCTTGGCCATGGCTGGACCTGCTGCTGTTTGGAGGAAAGGGACCTCAATATGAATGGTCTCTCTTAATGCTGCAGCACAAGCACCTTTCGCTTTTGAGCTATTAGTAACCTTCCTGTTTCTTGTTGAACCACTGCCTCATTTTTGTCTTCTCCTCTCTTGTGATGATGATGATGATTGCTGAAGAGTTTAGAGGTTGATCACAATAATTGTTAGCCATGTCAATGATTTGATGATAAAAACAAAGGCAAACCAGTGAAAATGTAATAACCATGAAGCAGTGCAACTATACATCTAAATGCCATTCTTCTTTCATGGTTATTTTCTATCATGATTTTGAGGTGGTCAAAATTATTCTTGTGGAAAAATAGGCAAAATAATGAAAAGTAAATGACAACAATGACTGTTTCTTATTTTTAATGGAATTTTTCTTTCTTTGCTTATAAATCTGATTTTTTTTTTTTGCTTACTAAAGGATTGAAGGTTCAAAACCTTATTCAATAATTTTTATTATCATCCTTCATCGAGCTTAACCGATAAGAATTTTAAATATTAATAGTAAAGTTTTGGGATCAAATTCTATTTTAATTACTTAAAAAATATTTTTCTTGGTAAGAGAAAAGTCAACAGTCTTGAACAAGGAGATTTTTTCTATCAAATCTGATATTGGTCTGATGATATTTCTCTACCAGACATATATAAATATACAATACATATCAAGACAAATTTACCTCAACTATTTATATATTGGGTCAACCATTCCATTATTTGCATGTTAATTATTATGATCAGGATTGGTGTATACTTGTGAATGATTCCACTTGCTGGGACATGATGCAAGGGAAAAGAAGAACCAGAGCTACAGAGATTTAGTTGGACTTGTTCTTTAGCTCCTACCTTTATGTCTTGGATGCTTTCATGGGGACCCTTCTTTGTTGGAGATGAAGTCACCTTATTGGTATAAATCATCCTTGGAAAATGGTGCAGATGATAAGTACTGTTTTTTTCATTCTTCTGTTCTCAACCAAATGAATGATTTTGGCCTAATCACTAATCAAGGAAAAATTATGATGAACAAAACTGAATAAGAAATTATAATGAACAATCTACAAGTATATCATGGCTAATTTAAGGAGTGATTTCATCCCTTGTTTGGGTATCAATCGAATCCATCTCATCAAGGATTCAATTAGATGTTCTTCATCTATTGAAACATCATTTAGGATCAACTATATAGATGTTTTATTGTTATCGGGCTTTCTAAAAATATATATTTTTAATTAGAAGAGTATTTAAATCTTTTATCATCTCTCTCTATCTCTTTTTGATACTACTAATATAAATTGATTTATATCTTTCAACTATAGTATCATCGCTCATTACTCTTTATCAAAATTATAATTAGTTATTCATGAATGAGAATTATTTTTTCCTATCTTTCCTAATAACTTCAAACATTCATTTCAATATTTTGGAGAGTAACACGAAAAAATAATTTATCATTTAAGATAACTAAAAAACTTTAAGGAATAAAACTTAATCTTGGGTTGAGAACCACAAGCTGCTCTTCTAGTCCTTCAAAAATATTTTTAAGCAAACATAGGTAAATCATTTTTCAACTATTAAAATATTTAATACCCTAAGAGAATAATAACAATAATAATAAGATTAACATTGAATATGAGAGATTTTTTGAGATTATAAAAATAATAAGCCCAAGAGCCTGGATTGAACCATCCTGTTATCCTTGTATCATTTTGAGCTCTGGTGGTGAACATAGAGAAAGTATGATATCAAGTTCCTTAATTCCTCAATGTGCATTGCCCTGATGTGTCTAAAGCTAGAAATAATATGCAGCAGTTAACAGCCTTGTGAATCAAAGATGAATGTGTACGAATGAAACATTCAGCTTCCTTCTATGCAATCAGGTCTTCCCCTACCTTCTTGGTCATGGTTATTGTCTTGCTGACAGTGGACCCTCGTTGCATTGTGTGGTCTTGAAAGCATTGCTCCCTTGTCTTCCTACTTCTCCTCTTATCAGACAACCCATAATTATTGCAGCTCGTGTTCTTGCTCATAGGTTATCGCTTCGAAGCAAAGGATGTTTGGCCATTGTCATCCTTGGGCAATTTTTTTCACCTTCTTCTTCACTCCCTTGTCTTCTGTTCTCTGAAAAAGACCTACTGTCCCCTAAAACATGTATTATCATTATCATCATCATTAACAACAAGAAGAATGTGAAAAAGTTTCATGTACATGTCCCCTTTGAGTCTTTTTAGGTGATCCATTCCTTTATGCTCCTGGATCACGGTGCCTCTACCAAGGCATGCCTGTGAGTTCTCTCACCTCAGCTTCTCCCTCACTCATTCCCTTTCCTTCATGTGGAGTTGGTTCCGGTGTCTGCGTGTGTGATCACTCATGCTTTTTGTCAAAATAGACTATACACATGATGGTTCTGTGCCGTGCTTGCAATTACACCTTGTCGTTGCTCAGGAACAGAGTACTGCTTGTCATGAGAAGCTTGGAGATCCGAGGTAGCCAAATGCAGATGCCGTTGATTGCACTTGGACTTGCATCAGCCGGAACAAACTTCTTTTCCTTGGAGCACCATTGCAATCAAGTCTTCGAGCTCAGGAAACCGGCAGGTTTGTTCTTCTTCTACCTTTGGTTCCCATCAGTTTGAGATCAACATGGCCAGCCTGCTTCTTTGTTTCCGCTTCGCCTCTGATCCCATTATAGTCGTATATTCTAGTGTGGTAGTTGCAGCTTCTTCACAGTTTGGAACTTTCTCCATCATAGCAAGGCACTGCTCTTGACAGTGAAATTTTGTGGAAGCTACTTGGAGTTTAAATTGATTGTGGCTCGTGCTGGCATCAGAAAAAAGGTTTGGTTACATTCCTGTGCTTCTGCTGCAAAACATACAGATGCTTGCATCCGTATGTTTTGGAGATCTTCTATTCCTGTTCATTTCGAATCATCTTTCTGTGAGTAGCAATTACAGATCATTCTGCTCCATTCTTTCTTTACCCTATTTCACAATCTTATGGCTCCGGATTCACAAGCAGTCAGAACTCTATTCTCAACTCATCTGAGGAATTTGATTTGGTTTCTATAGTCTATACTACTCTCGTATATTGCAGTAAACTGTTGTAAATTGCTGTGCATCCCTGATGATATGATGTTCAGATAATGTTTGCATATTATTCTTTCAGATTTAATAATGGGTGATTCAGATTAAGATGAAAGTATGGATTAGACTGAGCTCCCCTTTCACGTAATCTATCTGATCATGGCAATATTAGACTGAGTTTTAGAGTCTGCTAACTGACCTATGTTGATGTACAGGGGCCAATTGCCATGAATGGCTTTGGAGAGACACCAAAGCCAAGGAGTTGAGAGTCCATCAGAACTAGCTTGTGACAGGGATGTCTCTTGGAAGGACTCAGGATCATCATCCATGAGTGCCATCACGTTTGGATTAGCTGCCACTGCAGTACTAGTATCTATGTTTCTTGTCATGGCAATCTTTGAACATCTAATCATACCAAGGGTGTCCTTCTTTCGGTTGCGGAGCAATGCACGAGGATCCTCGGAAACCGGCCAGCTGCCTGTGCAGACTCACCTGCAGGAGAAGATTCAGGATTCAGTAGCAGTAAGTTATCCTGCAGATCAGAAAGAGTTGATTAAGATTTCGCAATACCTTTTTGAACTTTGTCATGCAAAAATCACTGCATATGATTCTAGTATCAGCCACATGCTAAGGTGGTGATCTTTAAAGAAAACATACCATTTGGTGATGGCAGGTTGGAGCTCAGCACACATCTGATCTGTCTGTGCTAATGCCGGGACAAGATTATCCTACCTTCATTGCTCAACCTGCTCCTCTTCCTTGCCAAAGAGAGGGCATGCACTGGCCTTCACATGGTCCTCATGTATCCTACAAGTAAATGATGTCATCTGGTGCAATTCCATTGGAGAGAGATACTGCAAATGGCTCTGAGATACTGCAATTCCATAAAGCAAAATTATTTATATCTTCAGCAAATGGCTCTGAGATTATTATGTAAGAAATGCTTTCATGAACTGAAGTTCAATGGTTCTGAGAAGGCCTTCAGATCTCAGTAAGTAATCAGATGTCAATGCAACCCATTTTAACTATCAGGCATAAAGAAAAGAAAAGTCAATTGGATAAATTAAAAAAAACATATGATGCAGAATTGGATAAAGTTAAAGAAAACATCCACATGAAAAGATTCAAATAATAATTTAAAATGATGCAGCTCATCTGGTGGAGTCAGAATTGAGAAATGACATTGAGGTTACACTTTGATGAAGAGTTATAATTCTCTTTAAATAATTGTTCAACCCTTCCAACACAAAATTAGACTCTCAAGCTTTTTGACTTTCCTAACAACAAATTATGAGAAAATCATACTTCTCATTTCTTCAATTTAGTTGTGCCTTCAAACCTCAGCTCAAATGTGCCAGTGCACATAAACAGTCCAAGCCAACAGCAAAGCACATCAGTTAGGAAGCTGCAATTCAATGCTCAAATAGCACATGAAATTAGTAACCTGTGCTCAGACGAAGCACTTTCTTAAATTGCTCTTCCTTTTCAACAATTTATCTTAGAACACTCCTTCCGAAAGCTCTCATTCATTATGGATAATCGTCCGAAGCAATGTTGAAATTTCAACTTCTTTCAGTCGAGATCTATTGTACTTTCCGGCCCACATCCTACAGGTCTCTGTTGAGAAGTTTGGATGAGAGGCAATGGCAGTCCGGCAGGTCTCTGTTGAGATACCAAAAACATCAATGTTGTCGATCTGCATCTTCTCTGCTGCCTTAGGCCACCAGAGTTGTCCACCAACAATGGTGCCACAAAGAATGTACAAACCAGTGGCCTGAGGAAAGGACCACAACGTCAAATAATTTTGGGAGGTATTCCATGAAATCCTCATCAGGAAGGTCCAAATAAACCTCGACAATGCTATCCGGGCAGACTCAAAAGGCTCAGTGGTGTTGTATACAAGCCATGAGGATGATGGTAGTGGAGGTGGACCTGCAGCACCAACGGTTCCCTCGCCTTTTGGGAGCTTCAACCTGTAAACATCAAACATCAGCTCCAGAAAAACTTGGGAAATGAGACATACGACCCCTATTTCTAATCTTCCAAAAATACCCATTCAAGAAATTATCATTTTTCCTGCCCAAATCTAGAAAAAATATTTACAATGCTTTATAGGTTGGTTTTTATCCACAAAACACTGTATTATATTTTTACTTTGAAAATAATATATAGTGTTTTTAAAATAAAAATTATTTTTGAACTAGTCTTATAATCTATTTAATTTTTTGTTGAATCTGAACAGAAAAATATATGATAGCTTTTGGGAGTATTTTTATATTTTTAAAATAGAAGACCACTAGTTGAGAATTTTGAAAATAGAATATCATCTTAAAAAACCCAAAAAAAGAAATTTTAGCACAATTCTCTTCTAAATATATCTAGATTATTAAATTACTTCCTTATATAGCATCGTAATTGTGTCAATCCGCTCTTAATAAGTTAAATAATTATAAAAGATTGAAATGAGGGATACAAAGGGGCTAATTATATATTATTTCTATAATTAGTTATCTTTAGTATTTCGATCTCTATACTTCCAAAAATTATATTAAAATTCTAATGCTTAATTTTAATATAATTTTTAAAAATATAAAATATTAAAAATTAAAATAATTAATTATAAAGGATAATTTATAATTAGCCCGAAGCCAAACGAAACTACAAGTCTTTCTTGCTCCTTGTAAGAGGATTCAGAAGCTAAGCGGAGACGATTGCTTTCCTGCAACCTTGTATGAGTTCTTCCGAGTATAAGAACGGAATTGGGGATGACTGATCGCACTCAGGTAACTCCTCCGCTCTTCAAACGTTACTAGTCATCTACATGTGTTGCAGAGTAGTCACCTTGTCATCTCCAATTGAAGCAGGGAAGAAGCAGCGCTCGATCAACTGGGCCGGTCTGTCGTCGGATCGGCCCTAGTCAGGATGGGCCGAGCCGTCATTGTGGCCACGAAGCCGAAGCGTCTTAAAGCGAACCAAAACCCTTCCGCCCCGAAACCAGCGGCCGCGGCGTCATGGCAAGCTTTGCGCGAAACCGCTTCCTCCTCTCCCGCTCCTATGCCTCCGTGGCGGCCAAGTCGAACTTGGCGAAGCAGAGCCCTCCCTTCGAGCCGGCGCCGGCTGCTGCGATGGTGAAGGAGGGAGAGGAGGTCCCCGCGCCGGTCATCGGCCGGCCCCTCTCGGATATCCTCAGAGAGCTCAACAAGAAGGTTCCCGAGTCACTCATCAGGACCCGAACCGAGGACGGCTTCACCATAAGATACATTCCTTGGTTTGCCCTCTTTCCATCATCTGTCACCTATCTTATGTAGCTCTTCTGGTTCGATCTCGCAGGGCATTTGATTGATATCTTGCGTTAGGGTTTAAGCAGAAATGGAGAGTCATGATAAAGAAGAAATCTTTGGTGCTTCGGGTTAGGTTAAAGGCGTAGGAAGCAATTGTTGCGGGTGTTGCATGTTGTTTTGCTCTTAAACTGTCGAATGTGTTATTCTACATTTTTTTTTGTTTGATTAAATTGGTCATATGTGTTTTATATTTCCCAAAAGATAATGATGAATCTTGAAGTTGTTACATTAGTGCTTCAGCTTAACTGTGAAATAATAATAATAATAATAATAAAAGAAATCCCTGAAAAAAATACAGAAGATTAAATTGGTGTTATTCTACTTTTTTTTGTTTGATTAAATTAATGCCATGTGTTCTATATTTCCCCAAAAAACAAAATGATGAATCTTGAAGTTGTTGCATTTGGGCTTCAGCTTAACTGTGGAATCAAGAAATAATAATAATAGAAGTAGAAAGTTTGGGATTCTGAGTTGCTGAGTGGAATTCTAGTTTTGTTAATTAGTCATTGCACGAAGAGGTAAGTTCACAGTTTAGAGTAAAAAGGATGACATGTAGTTAAGTACTGAAGAGGTGAGTTGAGTTTGGGTTTCAAATTCAGCTGTTGGTTGGAACTTTGTGCTACTGTAACATAATCCGGATGTGTTATTGAAGCTGCCAAAGTTTTGCATGCCATTTTGTACTGACATTTCGGATGTATGTGTTTAGAATGTTTTTGATAGAAAACATGAGAAAATTGTTTTTGATCAGTGTTTGTGGTTGAAAAATTATTGATTTAGAAGCATTTGGATATGTTTGCATCAATAAATGAGTCTACATAAATGTTCATGTTACTATCGCTGTTGCCTTGTTTAGCTGTTAAATTGCCTGGACAAGTTTGTTGATCACAGATTGACGGTGTTGTTTTAGACATCCTTGTCAGGTTCTTACCATGTTTGCAATGGTCTGTTTTCTTATGTAAAATTCAGATTTGAGTCTTGAAATGAGAATATGAAAATTAGACCGTACTCTAGGTTTCAGATGTGGCTAGGTTGGTTTCTTGAGTCCAACTAATTCATCTTCTCTGCATCTTTATGCATACATTTTCTACTTATTTCTTTTTATTCCATGAGTTGGTAGTTTTCAAAGTAAATCTTAATTAAGCAAAGCATTATTTGGATTTTTCAAGTAAGATCCTGCGATGCTGCTTTTAAAAAACATTATTTGCCTATTTGCCTGCCTATTGCTGTCAGAAAATGAATGGGAATATTAGAACTATCAAAACAATACATGCTATTTCCTTGGGATAGATGAAATTGTGACTAATTCACAGCACACTGTTAGCAAATGTATCTGTATCCTTAAAATTTGTGTATGTATATCTGGTCTGTCTGCCTTGGTGAAAATCTAAGTGAACATTTAAGGTGGAACAACGCAAGAAACCACATAGAACATCTCCTTCCCATAAAACTAAGTTGAGTAGATGGGGTTTCAGTACAATTCTTCTTCTACTACTATATATGAACGTTCATCTCCTTATATGAAAGATGAGCCTTTGCTTACCTTATGGTATGGATGCTGTTTTACAAATATGTTCATATGAGCACCTGTTGCAAGTCTTCATTTCACATCCATTTCTTGCAGGCATTTCGTCAATCGAATTCTGAATTTACATGCTCCTGGTAAATAATTTCTTCTGGTTTAAGTGACTTTGGCAAGCTTCAGATATCAGTGCAAATCATGAACATTTCGAGCACTTGTTTCCTTTTCTGTAGAATGGTCTGGCGAGGTCCGAAGCATTGTTTATTCAGCTGATGGAAAGTCGGTCTCTGTTGTTTATCGTGTAACTCTATATGGAACTGATGCAGAGGTACTTTTTAATCGGGCTCCTTTCAGATCTACGATAACATTTTAGCAGTAAGATTATATTCATATGTGCATGTAGGGCCTCCATACCATCATGATAAATGTGTTTGTGCATGTAAAATACCATGGTCCAACATTAACATGCCACGGTGTAGTAGTATTTGATGAAAGTTCTTCGAGTCCTGAGGAAACATTAGTTTGTCTGTATGAAGTTACTGTAGGGAACCTGCTAGGCTTCAAACTCATGACATAAATGTTTAGATGATTGGAATAGATCTCCAAATGCATAATGATCTCTGATTTTTTTCTGCCTATTTGGATTCCATAGCCATCCATTCATCATTTATCCTTCAGTTCGGTGCCATATTCTATTGTAAGAACCTCCTCTGGTATTAATATTTATTTCCATGAACGTGTATCTACTCTGCTGATGAAAGGTCCTTTCTAATGTCTCTTCCTCAGGTTCATAGAGAAGCTACTGGAACAGCTTCGACCACGGATACGGAGTTTGGAGACCCGCTGCAGAAGGCAGAAGCAATGGCATTCCGGCGAGCATGTGCACGCCTTGGGCTTGGACTTTATCTTTACCATGAAGATATGTTATAAATCTACAATGGTTATTTACCGCAGCATGCATAACCTAGATCGCTTCAGATTTTGACTTGGAGAATTTCACATTTTCTGTCCCTTGAAGCAAACATGCATGTACTCATCAGAACTACTCGCTATGTTTTAGTTTTGCCCTTTGGGTTGATATCACTGCAAACTCAATGTGTGAACTATGTTTATTGTCATGAGATGAGTGGATCATCAACAAAATCAATCAAAATGGGCATGGCTGATGGTGGTATCTTTTCCATTCTGCAACATGGTTTAGTTGGTAAGTTCTACTTAGAGATCCTATATGTCTACTAAGCTCCAAACTGAATGTGCTCAAAGTTTAGATTGGTAGTGTAAAATAGTTAAAACTCCTGTTTTTCTTTTCTTTGACATGTCTAACGTCACATCTTCCATTTTTATGTGGAACTACAAAGTAATCATTATGTAGCTGTGGAACTTTTAGGGCTGCCCCTAATATTGACTGCAATTCAAACCAATTTAGATCAGCTATTAACATAAAACACAAAGGGTGGTCCAATGTACAAGGTCCCCATTGATGGGTGATGTCGGGTACTTCGCAACTCGAAGCATAGTCGCATGTCAGAAGAGAAAGAATTGATTTCACCGTGCTAGCAAGGGTCAGGATATCCTCTAGAATATTCCTCACTTATACCATGTCTACTCAGATCCCCCAAGCACAATTGAATCCTCATGCCTACACACTGCACCTAAAGATCGTTGTCGAATGTGTTGTTGACTTATAGGATCTCCCCAAGTGGAGTTGAATCCTCATGCCTACACGCTGAACGTGTCTCGACTCATCCCTCTGATGCTCGAGCTGATCAAAGAATTTTTTTCCCACATAGAGAGAGTGCTGGAGAGTGAAGAGAGACGAGTTAGGTTATTGTCATAAGGTCTTCTATCTATCTATGATCATAATCAGAGGTTCTTAGTTCTGCAGGTAAGAAAATATTCTTAAGAGTTCTTCATTCAAAAACTAGTTTTCATTGCAAATGATACTGACATGACAGATCGGACAACTGAATTTATCGTCACCACATTAAAAAATATATATATTCTTGAGAATCTTTCCGTTGTCACCAAATTCATATTAATTCTTGCATATATCCTGCAGCTCTGGCTCATATTTGCATCAGTAACTGCGATACTACATCCCTAAGCCATATATGACAGAAAAATAAACAGAAACAATAACCCGAACATAGACTTGTAGCACTAAATGAATCTGAACCTTTAAACCTTCTCAATGTTTTGTGAAGCAAACCCTACAGTGCATCATTGAGCACCTAATAATAGCCTATACTCAAAACGACTGACCATACATGGGGAAAGAAGGAAAAAAATGAGGAGCAACACAATGACACGG